GCAGCCACCACGCCTCGGAGTCACTTGATCTTCTTCCCGTGCTTTCAGCTGAACAAAATCGTAACGAAGTGGCCGTGTTCAGAACGTATAATACATGTAGGTTGTGCAATGAAGAGGTGGCTCCTGGCTGGAGTCCAAGCTAATACCTCCTCTCCGACTGCCACGTTGCCTGAGGTTCGATCGACCCGACTTTCGAACCCATATGGTGACCTTCATGGACCACCCCGGGGTACCCTATAAAATCACAGTGCTGTGAACAAAAAAACACATATTCTTGTATTGAGCAATTCTTGATGGTCCTACTGGGTAGTCCCCCAAAAAGGGACTTGACAGCAATGATCGACGGACTCGACAACACGCCATGAAGCTCTTACATCTCCTGTCTGTCGTGGCCGTCCTGTGGCCCGTGACCGAGGCTGGGCCCGAGCTTTCCGTGCGTGACCACAACAAGAACAAGACGGCCTCCAAGCGCCCGACGATACGCGTCCCGCTCGATCCGAGCACGCAGCACACGCCGGTGGACCCGGCGCTCGCCCACTTGCGGCCGCCAGCGCCGCGGTTTCCGGCCGAGTACGATATGTTTGTGGGCCTTTCGGCTTTTCGCGACGGCGCGCGCTGCGGGTACACGGTCTTTACCGGGTTTTCCCGGGCGACGCGGCCCGACAAGCTCTACTTTGGCATCGTCGACCAGCTCCTCGAGGCCGACCTCTCGTGCATTGACGCCTACTGCGCGCTCGCCGCCGAGGCGTGGCCAAAATGGCCATGCAAGTACCGCGACCAGATCCGCATCGACTCACGTGACGCGGCTGCGTCGCGCGGGCCAACGTACGCGCGTCACTTCCAGCAGGATTTGGTCCGCGACGAGGAGTTTTGCCTCCAGCTCGACGCGCACAGCGAGTTCACGACGCAGTGGGACACGCTCCTCGTGCAGGAGTGGCAGCGCACCGAGAACGAGATGGCTGTGCTCACGACGTACCTGCACAACATTGACTCGCACATCCTGTCCGATGGCACCAACCTCGGTACGTGACTTTGCCAAAGGCAATATTTCCACCGCCAGACTAGGGGCCCGCACGGCGCCGCACATTTGCCAAACGACCCGCGGCGGCTCTGGGAATGTCCGCAATGTCGCCGCCGACCTCATTTACGACTCGGAGCGGCCGCAGCTCGGCGCGCTCTGGGGCGCGGGCCTCTCGTTCAGCAAGTGCCACGCCGAGAAGCGCGTGCTCATCGACTCGCACACGCTGTGGATGTTTGACGGCGAAGAGTTCCTCCGCGCGTCGCACCTCTGGACGCACGGCTACGACCTCTACTCGCCCAGCACCCGCGGCCTAGTGGTCTACCACAACTACACGAGCGTCCCTGCCAAGTACGACGCAGTCAAGGTTGCATGCACCAAAGCGTCTTTGTAGGTACTTTGACCTGCGCGTCGACATGCAGGCCAAGCATCTCGAGACGGCGCGCGCCAACAACCGCGTCAAGTACCTCGTCGGTGTGCCCTTTGTCGGCGAAATCGACGCCGAAGAACTCGACATCTACGGCTGGGGCACGGTCCGGTCGTTCGCCGCGTACCTCAACTACTCGGGGCTCGTCTTTGAGCCAAACGTACCGGACAAACAGTCGTGCAAGCAGCTGCACTGGGTGCCGTACGAGGATGCGTCGGCCATTGAAGCGCTGCTGCCGGGGTGGACACCGGCGACGGTGGCGCCACCGACCGCCGCCATGCGCAAGCCAGCGTCCATGCGCCGTCAAAAAGGCGTGTTGCCGTCGGTGGCGGCGCGACAAAATGAGAGCTCGGCGCTGCCTGCGATGTGCTTTCTCGCGTTGATCCTCGCGGTCTTTGTGGCGCTCTTGGCGTGGCCCCGAACGCACCTGCAAAAGACGCAGTAATAGACATTCAACGACAACTTGTCCATGCAACTAACATCGTGACGCGCTCCTGTACACACGACAGTCGACGTGGGACTTAAGGACTACCGCGACGAGAGGAGGAGTGCGGTCGTGTGGCGCTGACAGTACTCGTGGAACTCTGACAATCGGCGGTACACGTCCGCCGCAGCGCTTCGCTGAGCCGGGTCGACGTGCACGCAGCTCGCAATCACCTCTGCAATCTCCAACGGACACTTGGTCGTTGGCGCAGGTCGGAAGAAGCCGGCAGCAATGTCCTGGAGGCCGTCGCGCAGCGTCTCGTCGCTAGTGGCTTTCGCCTCGAGCGCGCAACCGTGGTCCATCTCGCACATGAGTACTCCAAGCGCGTAGACGTCGGCGGCCACCGTCGGGCAGCCGCCGGCGCACACTTCGGGCGCGACGGTCGCCACGCGCGTCGTCGTCGCCGACCGGAAGCCGTCGAGCTTGGCCGCGCCCGTGGCCGCAATCCAAACACTTTCCGAGTGCACTTGGCCGTGCACATGTGTCTTCTCGCAGTGGAGGTACTTGAGCGCCCGCGCAAGGTCCCGCGCAATCGAGAGCCGCGTCACGAGGCCCGTCACGCTCGTCCAGCCAAAGGTGGGGTCGCCGGCGCAAGTGGTCATGTAGTCGTAGAGAGACCCGAGCGGACAGGCCTCCTCGACGACTGCAATGTCAAACGACGTGCTCCAAAAGACACCGATGCAGCGGACGACGTTGTCATGGCACATCGACGTGCAGAGGCGGATCTCTTGCATGAAGCGGTCCATGTCGGCGCCCGTTTGCAGTTGACGAACGACGACCGGCATCTGCGTCGGAGTCCAGACGCCGTCGTAGCGCCCGCCCATTGCATCGGTCGAGACCAGTCGGCGCAGCTGGATGTCGGTGCGTGGAAGCCGCCACGACGCGATCGACGCGTCGAAGCGCACGTCGTGCTCCGAGACGATCGAGCCCCGGGTCGTTTGGCGCTTGTAGACAGTGTCCATGTGATCGCTCTGGTCCCGCCGGGCACGCCGGAGGAGCACGACCAAAACGACGACGACCAAGGCGATGGCAACACCGAGTGCGATCGACGTCGCTGTCGCACTCGTATCGCCGCCGCTCGACGTAGACACGGTATACACGTCCGTGGGCGTCGGTGGCACCACCGTCGTCGTCGTTGCGGGAGCAACGCCAAAGGTACTTGGCGCGCTCTGTGACGCCAAGACGCAGACGTTGAGCGTACCGCCGAGCAGCGACTGTACGGTTCCGTTGCATGTGGGCGGCAGCGTAATGCTGACGTTGTGCCCCACCGTGGAGAGTGTTGCAAGCACGCCAAACGACGCTGGCGAGACGGCAATGTCCAGCAGCCGCGCGTGGCTCAAGTCCCTACGCCAGACGTGAGCCGTCACGTCGCCATACCCAACGAGCGACGCACAGGCTGCCGAGGCTCGGTGGAAAGGTGACGTTGTGGATGGACTGCAGCGGCGTGCCCGACAAGTTTCTAATGCGTGGATCTCAGCACACCGACTGCAAGGACGCTGTCGTACAAGCGCTGCAGAGTCGTTGGCAGCGCAAAGTTGCTCCCGAGGGCGTGAAAGGCTTGGTTCACGAGCGATCTAATGCAAGCATTCTGAGCGAGGCAGCGTCCGTGGCGCGTCGTACAGTTCGAGGAGGTGCAGTTGTCGCCCGACTTCGTCGACGCTAAAGTCCCCAAAGCTCGTCATGCCATTGTCGCGAAGCACTCTAGTCAAACGCTCATGAACGTCTCGTGAGGTAGAGATTCCTACACTGCGGGAACATTGGGCAGGCGCTCGACGCGGGCGATCGGGACGCCGTCCAAGCTGCCGTCCGCCATGGCATCGCTTGACGTGATGGTTTGGATCGGGTGACCAGCGCTGTCGAGCACGCATGCGATACCAGCGCAGGGCGTCGTCACCAAGACGCTTGGGTTGGCGACGGCGCCGATGGTTGCAGCGAGCCCCAGCGTCGCGCAAAGCAACGCCATGGAACGACAAAGAAGAATGACGGAAGCCTTGCCATGCTCGGGTGGAGGTCGATGTAATGGCCGCGATCTTCCTCGATTGGTCCATGCGATGTCGGCAGCGACGAGATGCAAAGCTAATCGCACCCAACAGCTACTGGGCCTATCATACATTGAGGCTTCGGCCACTTGAATGGGACGACTGTTCACTACGATAGAATTGCCGGTCACTGCCAAGTAGAAGTGACTAAGAGGTTGCTTGTAATATGTACTTGGTAGTACGCGAGAACATACTGGAGGCTCTCAGGGACTCTTTGACAACAGCTTCAGTCGACGACAGAGCTGTGCAGTGATCATGGTCGGCGTCCAGACTGCCACGTGTCCAGCAGTGTTTTACTGAATAGTATCCGGATGCCGCATAGAATCACTTGGTGTTTGTATGAATAGAGTTGCCATCCGGAAAGCAACCAACATGACGTGGCACCTTGCTGCTTGTTCTGCACCAAATCTTCGTTCGGCAGAGTGAGAATTGGTCACCATGCATACATATATTCATTTCTGTTACTTGGTCGTCGCCTCTAGAGCGAGACCGAATTCGTGTTGATAGCGAGAAAGCGCGTCAGTGCGAGTCGACGACCCACATCGTCCGCTTGATCATTTAGGAGATAACGCGAAACACGTTCATGTATAACGTTCTAGATAAGACGAGTAAACTGATCCTAAATTGCTTGTGTGAGGACCACACCATGATTGAAGCCTGAGTTGTGGTGCATCACCACGGACTAAACGATTGAACTGAAAGTTAGTTGATTCGCATGAATCAGCACTGTCCAAAAGCGGTTTAAAACATGCGCGTTAATCAGGTGTTTTTAACATAATAGGTGTATCAAACACTTTTGTGATTCGGCGGGCAGCGATGGCCGACCCGATGGCCGCTGCCATGCAGCAATACACGGCGTCCATGCAGGCTCAGTTCGCCGCCGTCATGGACAAGGTGCGGTCCAGCATGGAGCAGAGCTCGGGCATGGCCGGCATGATGAACGACATGCTGGAGAACCTCCTCCTCCAGAGCCTGCGCGTGATCTGCGTCGTCGCGCCCAGTCCATCGATGGCCGTGGACGTCCGGGCCACCAACCTCGGCACGATCCCGATCCCAGTTGTTGCCGTTTCCATTGCGCTGCGTCCACACGGGCGCCAGGATGCCGAGTACGAGCTGTTGACGCGGTCGGTGCCACAAGACCTCGCTGTGCACGACGCGATCAACGTTGTCGTGCCACTGGCGCTGCCGTCTCTCGGCCAGTACGACGGCCGCATCGCGGTGTCGTGCGTCAGCCCTGGCACTGGCAAGCGCCTTGAGGCGACGCACGAATTTAGCGTCTATTACCTCCAGCAGCTCAGCATCGAGCGCGCGACAATCACGGTTCCGGATGGCCCCGCGACGATCGTGCGAGGCCTGGACCTCGCCAAGCTGCGCGACCTCTTGCGCTTGTCCCCACGGGACGCTTTGGCCACACACGGCGGGTACCAGCTTCTCGGCCCGAATCATGATACGTGGTTTGTGCTGCAGCTGCTCGATGGCGACAGCACACACGCCGACGTCAGTGTCGTCGCCTCGAGCTCGTCGCCAATCGACGCGGGTACCATCTCACACGAGCTCACCTTGCTTGCGGGCTCACGTCGGACAGTCCAGCCACGCGGCTAGCTATCTACTTGTCCGCATAAGTCGTAACAACGGTCCTACGGTGGAATGAGCCGCTCCGTAGCGAGTACTACAGTTTTCTACGATAGGAGAGCCAAGGCACGTTTGCATCACTGTGGCTGGTGCCTTCTACACGCCTTGCCTCGCCTCACCATCGCTGTCTGGTCGCATCAGGCTCGCCGTCGACAGGCGACCCTGGAGCCCTTGGCGCGTTCGACCAAATCAGCCCACCGTCGATCGCGAAGTGCGGGAATAGTACGGCAGCTCTGGCAAGATAGTATCTCGCCACCTCTCGCTACAGTGAGAGGAAAAAGACGCCGAGGGCACTATCTACTACGCTCAAGTGGACTCGCTTCAACAACGTTTCTCTGATCAAAGCTCGTCGAGCAGCTGGTTTGTGTATGCGCAGCAGCTGCAGAACGACCGTTGCACGTCGTCGGAACTTGATTAGGCGCGTAGTACGTTCAACGCGGAAGCAACGTAACTGGCCAGACGCATTCCAAGCACATCGTGCGTTTCGGGTACGTGGCCCGACTCGCGGTAGCCGAAACCAACTCAGACTCACATCAGCGCAACGTTGGATGTTGAATGTACCTGTTAACCACGGCGTTCTGCATCGCACGCGGGACTGCCATTTGGTGACCGCCCTAGATGCGGAGCTAGCGTTCGGAACCAATTCAGCGCGACGTTGGTCGTCGAGGGCAGTGACGTTGGGGTCGTGGCCTTTCTAGCGGCCCGCCTTGCGCGAAACGTGGCAGTAAGCTGTGACGTGCACCCCAAGAGACCAACCGGACGACGATCGTCGAGTATTGGAGCAAATGCGCGCAAAAGGGGCTTTGATTCTAGGGTTAGGGTATATTTTAAATAACGTGGCTAATACAACCCCCGCGGGTCTTGGTGCTGGAGGTGGTGGTAATTCTCGGGCATACCCACCGGCGCGTACCGGTCGAGCGGCTGGAGCTGGTACACGGTCGCTTGCGCATACATTGTGTGTTCAGGATACGGTGCGTACGCCTGTTGTTGCTGGAGGAGCTCCATACGCGGCGGCTCGTCGTATTGCTGGTACATGGCGTGCATGTTGTTGCCCGTAGTATAGTCCATGTGCTCTTGTTGTTGTTGATGCTGCTGCTGCTTGAGCGGCTCGTAGTACTCGAAATGCGTCGCTTCGGCCTTGAAGCACCCGCTCGACGTTTGCTCGTACACGTCCACGTACGGCTCGAACGCGCTCTGCGGGATCTCGGCGAGGACGCGGTCTGTCTGTTCCTTCTTCAGCGACGCGTGGACGTTGAGGCCGTCGGCGTCGTAGACGGCGTTGGGGATGCGAACGGCTGCGACAGGCGCCGGAAAATGGTTGGAGCACATACCTTGCTTGCGCGCGGGGCGGTTGCAATCGTCGACCGAGCATCGGCGACCGCCACCGTGCTCTGCGCAGAAGCCGCCGCCGCGGTCGTTCTTCTTGCAACCGTCAAACTGGCACATGCGGTTGCCGCCGTGGCTTGCGCAAAGACCGTTGCGCTGGGCGCCCTTGTCGCATCCGGGCGTCCGGCACCGGTGGCCGCCGCCGTGCATGCGGCAAAAGCCGCCGCCCTGACTGCTCTTATTGCAGTGGGGAATTTGGCAACGAAGGCCGCCGCCGTGGGACTTGCAGAGCCCGTTGCTCTGCGACGACCGGTTGCAGTCGGCGATCGAGCAGCGCTTGCCACCGCCGTGGCGGATGCAGTAGCCTTTGCCTTGGCTCGAGCGCATGCAGCCCGCGACCATGCAGCGGAGACCGCCGCCGTGCGCCTTGCAGAGACCTTTCGAGCGCACCTTCTTGTCGCAGTGGGGGTATGTGCAGAGACGGATGCTGCTCATGCTGGGCGACGAGGCTGCCGACGACGACAGGGTGTCCTTGAAGTGCAGGAGCGACGAGACGTCCACGGACATGGCGGTAGTTGGATGCGTCTGCCCGAGCATGGAAAATCAAAAGTGTCAATGCTATCGGTCGCAGCTGGAAAGAGTCGGACGAGCATACGCGCTTCAAGGATTGCAGTGCGATCACGAATTTTAGACCCCTGACTCTCTGCGAGCACGTGGCACGGGCACCCACCGTGTATACGCACGAGTAACACGCGATGTGCTCCGTCTTCTAGCCAAAGTTGGACAATTATACGTAAGTCATCCCACAGCTGAGGCGATTGCAACACATCCTTCTCTCGTCGTACGGCAATTTTCCTTTTTTTCACATCATTGATGCTTGGATTTTGCATCACATCCGACGCCGACGACCCCAATCATGTGTTCCGGCAGCCTGTGGTGAGCCGGCCAAAATGCGGCATGCCACGCCCTCTTCTTCTGAAGCTGCCAAGGCTCAGAACGATCTCCCTCTATCTTGTTCAAGCAACGGCTCTGTTTGTTGCGAATTGTCGAGGTCTTGGCTTGATAACTGGTTCCTGACGCTGACAGCGCCGTACGTCGAGTGTGAGTAATGCCTGTATGAGTAATGATTGTGGCTTGCATACCACTTTGCAGTTGCGCTCTGCCTTGAACATGAGCGCGCGCCAAGCTTCCTGCCTCAGAAAGGCGCGCCCCGTCGATGGCTGTTGCGAGTGTCTACTAGTATGGCCTATGCCACCGGCGGCGCCACAACCGCAGCGCATCCAAGGTTACGCGGGTGCTGGGTGCTTGCGGACGCAGAGAAATGCTCAGTATCGACATGTCGGCACTTGTCACCTCTTCACGCTGCCCTCGCAAGCAGCTTGAGGCAGCCACGTGGTGCGGCTGCGTTCCCCGAATCTGCGGCGCCGTGACTCACACGTGCGACGAAGAGGTCATGTCAGCCCTTCTTACACAGACACGATCATCCTACTCTCTCGTCGTCGAATGCGTCGATGGCCGATGCAGGCGTCGATGCAGGCGCCATCACCGCGGCTTCGTCTACCACGTAGGGTGGTGTATTACTGTATGGTACTACAAGGCCTACGCACTAATAATCGGCCAATTGAGCGCGTCCGGCTATTTGTTGGGGCCACGTGTTGCCATCGATCAGTCAGTCACGCCGTAATGGGCTTCCGGAAGGATGTGGTGTAGAGGCCGCTGGGTGCTCGACCCCGATCTTTCCTCGAGTCGCCACCGACGCAACGTCGTCGTCGTCGCAGCTGTCGCTATGTCCGTTGATGTTTTTGGCCCGTGTCACGACGCGTCACGAGAGATTGGTCAAGTTACTCAAACTGGATAGATGGTTATCGTAGGACAAGCATACGAAGTAATGAAATGCCTCCTACAATGCCAATTGCATCGGAATAAAGTCCGCGTCGTTGTTTAGTCCATGGTCCGACTTGCTCAAGCGGCTTCCTGTAACGTGCACGGCGGTAACTTTAGGAAGAAAAATGGGCCATAGAGCCGCTGTGTAGACGTGTCTGTAGACCGTGTACACACGTCCGAGATCGAGAACGCGAGTCAGACAGGACCAAGCATCGCAGTGCAGCGGACACTGCGGACACGGAGACGTCAGCGCAGACAGATTCTTCCATGCCATGGGCAACTGCAAGCGCACGCTTCAAGGAACGCGCTCTCAATATAGGTGCTGCCAAGGTCCGATGTTCGCACAGCCGTTGGACGAGCCTGCGTCGAGTCTACTACGGAACTGTCGTTTTGACTCATGTTATAATGCAGAGCAGGCGGCGTGGTCGGACCACGCACTTATGGCTACATAGCCGGCACGAATCACTTGCGAGAAGACTTGAAGTCCACGGGTGCATACGTCTCTAGCCAGCGCAGTGACATATTCGCCGTGTTGAAGTTGGTCGCGTCTGAATACACCAACAATTGCGACACAGTCGAGTGCGAAGACTGTATGCGCGCTAGCACAAGCTACACTTGTGCATCGTCCGTGCTCAGGTGTGTGGGCAACGCGTTGCAGCCGTGCATCATCTGCCCACTCTTGGTCCAGCCCCGAAAAGATCGCGCCAATCCCCACAGCGTATTCGGCGTGCGCCAATCAGCACCCGATCCTCGCCTGGAAACCGCCAATCAGAGGCGTCCCCGAGCCATCGTGCCCCCTGCCTGGCCATGCAACGCGCACGCGAGAGATTTTATTTGAGGCAACTACGAGTTGCAGCGTTGAAGTATACTACAAACGCGCGTCTATGATGCTACATCAAAGGACTAAGCTTCAAGGCTGCAGCATAAGATTCAGGCTCTTGATAAGATTATTGTTCTCCATGACGCATGACCTAACGGTCACCATTTGCTGTACGTATACTAGCTTTTGTACGTCGAGCGTGCAATGCTAGTGCGCGGTTGTGCACCGTCCACAACCCTAATTTGTGGCAGAATAAGGACGGTCCAAGATCGCAGAGTGGAGTTTCGACCAATCCCTGAGCCTCCTTCGTAACGACCAATGAAAACGCAGGGATCTGTGGAAAGTGCACCAATCGAGGCGTCGAACCGAGATCCGCAGACCCGAAGCGTCACCACCGAGCCAGGATGTACCAGCAGATGAAGGACGGTGCGAGCCCGCGCATGCGCCGTGCCATAGGACTCATGCACACTCAAAGTAGGCGGCAGCTACACCTCGACGGTGTACGGCCATATTCGCGACCAAAAGTACGACGAAGCCGTCCGCATCCTGCAGATCGAGCTGCAGAACCACCCGTGCAGCCGCGCCGCCTTGTCGCTCCTCGGTAGCACCACAAACGTCTTCGTGTTTCTGATATGTCTATTCATGCGTAGGCTACTGCTACTACCATATGCAGAGCTTTCACAATGCCGTGTCCATGTACGAGCAGCTCTGCAAGCTCTTTCCGGACGTTGAAGACTACCACCTCTACTATGCCCAGTCGCTCTACAAGGCAAGCTCTACAGCTCGTGACGCTGCATCGTCATCTTCTCGATGCTGTGTAGGCGGGCCAGTACGATGCGGCGTCGCGCAAGGCCAGCCAGTTGGAAAGTGAGCAGTACTCCCACCGCGTACCTACATTGCCGCCGATGAATACAATGCATCAGACACGACGTAGGTGGCGCTGCTGCGGTCGGCCATCTACTATGAGCAAAACGACATCAAGGCGACGCAGTCGATTCTCGACCAGTGTCTCCGCGACGATCCGACCACGGTAGCCATTGTGCGTTCGAATCCCAAAATGTAAGAATCGTAGGTGGTGTTTGACGGTGCGATCGAGTACAAAGAAGGACGCTTTGAAGAAGCCAAGAAGAAATTCAATGACGCCATGAACGTCTTGGGGTATATACGTCTTTGCGGCGAGCCAAGGCGTGACGCCGCGACGTAGCTACCAGTCGGATCTGTGCTACAACATTGCACTCTGCTACTTTCGCCTCAAGCAGTATGGCAACGCGATGCGCCAAATCGCTGAAATTATCGAAAAAGGCGTACGCTGCCCGGGTTCGAAGTGGCGATTTCACATCTCGTAGGTGCGCGATCACCCCGAGTTGAGCGTCGGCAGCAAGAGTGAGAGCAACACGGACGTCAAGAGTGTTCGCAACTCGACAGTGCTGCGCGAGGTCGAATACCTAATCGACTTGACGACTAGAAAAGCATCTAACAATGTATAGACGGCGCTTGTGGAGGCGTTCAACCTCAAGGCTGCGATCGAGTACGACATGAAGAACTTCAAGGTACTCTCAATGACTTGTACAATTCGCTTGAATGAACTAGGGCTCACGCGACGCCCTCCTCGACATGCCGCCGCGGGCCGAAGAGGAGCTCGACTCGGTACGCTCTTCCGTTTAAAACGGCAAAAGGTGCTCAGACGCAACAGGTGTCGTTGCACAACTTTGCTCTTATGAACATGGACGTGGACCCGAACGGCGGCTTCAAGAAGCTCAATTTTCTTTTGCAAAACCCTCCGTTTCCCGTCGAGACGTTCTCCAACCTCTTGGTACAGCTCAACAGGGTCCAGACTGTGTACGATTGGCTGTGGTAGATCCTCTACATGAAGCACGGGTTCCACGACCTCATGGCCGACGTGCTCGCCGAGAACACGCACTTGACGTTCCAACTGCTCTCAAAAGACTTTTTCGAGTTTGTGGATGCGAGCGTCACGGTATATTTTCGATTTCAACAAATTACAAATTGTGGGAATAGCTCCAAACGTCCCCCGAAGAGGCGTACCGCAAGTACGACGATTTGGCGACCAAGCACGTCGAGATACTGCGCAAGCTCACGCAAAAGATCCAAGCCGCCCGCATCGCGCAGTCCAACGACGAGATCAAGGCAAGCTTGAAAGCCTACGACGACGCGCTCGAGGACTTTATGCCGGTGCTTATGGCCCAAGGTTCGATCCTCGCCCCTTGCACGTATTTTCTCACAGCAAGTCGCAGCCAACATTTACTGGGACCGCGGCAACTACGCCCAAGTCGAAAAGATTTTTCGGCAAACGGCCGAGTTTTGCTCCGAGCACGAAAGCTGGAAGCTCAATGTTGCCCACGTCTTCTTCCTCCAAGGCAACAAGTACGAGCAAGCGATCCAGTACTACGAGCCATTCGTCAAGAAGCACCAAGTACCACAACGAATTGTGCCCTACGATTCTCACATTTCGCGATAGGAAAACCTCCTGGAGGTGCAGGCCATCATCCTCGCCAACCTCTGCGTCTGCTACGTCATGAACACGGACAACGAAAAGGTACGCCGTAGCGCGTACGTCATCAGCTCACACTAGGGGTAGGCCGAAGAGCTCCTGCGGTCGATTGAGCGCGAAGAGGAGGAAGAGTCGGCGCGGGACCCCGAGAAGCGGCTCTTCCATCTCTGCATCGTCAACCTTGTCATCGGGACGCTCTACTGCTCCAAGAACAACTACGACTTTGGCATCTGCCGCGTCATGAAGGTACGTCTCCACGTCCCATCCTCTAGGTCCTCTATAAATGACTAGAGCATGGAGCCGTACCATCGTAAACTGGGCACCGACACATGGTATTGACTCGAGCGTCGTCTTCTTGCCGCCAGCACTGCGCGTAGGTACTACGCCAAGCGCTGCTTCATGGGCCTGGCGCTCACGCTGGCCAAACACATGACGACGATCCGAGACTCGACCATGGCCGACATCCTCGTACGAAAATACGCGTGAGCGTGGGCTAAGAACGCGGTAGGACTTCCTGGACGCCGCCGACACTCACGGCGCCGACATTCCGACGACGACTGGGGTCGGACCACGGGCAACGCGAACTTCGTCTTATTGTTTCTAGATGGAGGCGGCGGCTGGCAACAACGACATGGTGGCCCACACCGTGAGCTACGAGGTACCGACCCACGGCGCTGTGCTGCCTACGACTACGATTAGGCGCGCGTGCTCAAGCGCATCTTCCTCAAGCTTCGGGGATAAGCCTGTCAACGACTGCATATATGACTCAGTACATACCATCGATCGCCAAATAAGTTCTCTTCGCAAGCTTAGAGCAGAGACGGAGATAATTCATAGGAGGTGTATTAGTTACAAGCTAAACCGAAGCGTGAAAGGTGTTCGCGTCCTCTGCCGCCTGTCTGAAGACGCCGAGGGGGCCGAGCGTTTTTGAGTCCATGGATCTGTGGATCCAAGCAGATGAAAGGCCCGATACCGCGGTTATTTCATGTCGCAAGCCATATGCTTGACGCCGCATGTCGCCCAGGGGAAAGGGGTGAGGGTAGTTGGGGAAGGTTATGAGTGCAAGGAGCCTCGCAGCGCACGGGGGAGGAGGGGAGGGTGTAGGAGGCATTTCTTGCGTGCCACTGGGCTTTCTAGGAAAGGAGGTGTTGGGCATAGTTGTGTTGGAGCTCACCAGTTGGGGCGGGGTAGAGGTTGTATCACCATTTTACATGTCTTAGATCCACAGATCCATGGACTTGAACCCCTCCGCCCCGCCGAGGGTGTCGCCAGCCGTACTTATGCGAATATCTAAAACAACGTATACGTCCTGCAAAGTACGCTGTCCTCAAAACCGGACTTTAGTCGACTTATCGTATTGCCACTGGCTGTAACCTGTGAGAATGCATATTTACACTTTACCGATCGACCTCTAAAGCAAATTAGCTGTGAAGGACCGCCCACAAACCCGTGATACATGATACACCGCATTAATGGATCAAAAGCAAAGACTGTATAAGTTTTGCCACGTGGCATTGGAGTCCCTGCCCGCGGTGGCTCATCTTCCTCTTCCTCCGACCGTAGCACCGCCCGCCCGCTCCTCGGCCCAGCATGGTTGACACGTATGGACGCAGCCGGCCGCGGCAAGCCAACATCATCAACGCGCGCAGTCGGCTTCACTCGCCTCTCTTCCGCCACGGGCGCTCGGCCACGTCCAGCAGGGCCGACGACGACGGCAACGACGACGGCAGTGCCGACGACCCGCTCGTCCGAGAGACGCCCTTGTACCGCCACAAGCAGTCCTTCTTTGGGCAGGACTTTGATGCGACCGTTGCAGCCTCGGCGCCCGTGCGGGCCAGCCCCATGGCGGTCGCCTCCGACAGCGGCCGGCCGCCGGTCCGTGGCGGCGCTGCCCGCTCGTCGGCCGGCTCGACGTTGGACGAAGGAACGCACGGCGAGTGCCACTCGGAGAGCGCGCTCGATACCAATTGGGACGCGCCGCTCTTGACGGCCGAGAACATTGGCAGGGCATTCTCGTCCGTCTCGCGCGCCGGCAGCGCGTCGCAGCTGCGCGCCGTGAGCAGCGAAGTCTCAGACTCGCTCTCGCGCATGAAGATGCGCAAGCAAGAGATCGAGATGGCGTCGCTCGTGCACAAGGTCCAGTCGCAGCTCCGCACGATGGAAGACGTCATTAAGGAGCTCCAGAACGAACACGCGATCAAGAACGAGATGATCAAGAAGCAGATGAACGAGACGAACCGCATTCTCGCCGAGCGCGACCAGCTCCAAATGGAGCTCCGTAGCGCGTCCCAGAAGAGCGCGTCGCCCATCTCGAACGACATGACGCACCTCCGCAGCTCGCTCCAGTCGTTCATGCAGCAGACGGAGCAGACGCAGTTCCTCATGATGGAGCAGCTCAAGAGCATCGAGTCGAGCAAAGGGTCGCCGCAGCGCCGCCACTCGGTCGACGCGCAAAAGATCGAAGCGTCTGTCAAGTCGGCCATGTCCGAGTTTGCCTCACTGCAGCAAAACATGATGCAAGCCCTTGCGCCGCCGACACTGCCGACACCACCGGTCGCTGACAAGCCAGTTGAGAAGTCGGTTGAGAAGTCGGTTGAGAAGCCGCGGTCGCTCCCGCCCGTCAAGACCGCGTCGTCGGCGTGGAAGACGGCTTTCTTTGCGATGATTGGCATCTGGCTCGTCACACTTGGTGTTGGCGCAGCCCAGCACTTGTACGGCCTCGACCTCGTCGCGTTTGTGGCGCAAGAGACGCGCGAAATGCACGTCCTCGTTGAGACACTCCAGGACATCGAGACGGTGCCTGACGCCACGACGCCGACGTCGCCCACCATTGACATCGTCGCGGACGTGGTCACGGTCCAAGTCAACACGGACGGCGCCGTCGACGCGCGTGTTGAGGACGCCTTTGTCAACGTCACTTCGGCCGACGACGACGTCGATGCGACGGAAGAGGACAGCGGCATCGCCGATACGGCTACCACCAGCCATGTCGACAACGGGGTCCGTGATGTCACCAAAGACTACGAAAGCGTCGGCAACAGTGACGCCGACGCATCTGCCGTAGATGCCAAAGAAGATGTTGTTGACGTCCAGGAAGGACCCGCCAAGCAAGTCATCGTCGAAGAGATCCAGGACGTCGTCATTGAAGAGGTCACGGACGTCGTCATTGAAGAGGTCACGGAAGCTGAAGATGCAAAGGAACGCGTTGAAGAGATCAAGCAAGAAGAGGTCGCGGACGACACCGTGGAGGAGGTCAAGGACGAGGTTGTCAAGGTCAAGGACGACGTTGTTGACGTGCCGACGACAAACGATGAAGCGATTGGCGGTGATACGAAGGAAGCCGATGACGTTGTAAGCTCGGATGCTACCGATGCCCTGGACGTCGTCAACGTCACTGCGACTGCCAACCCCGAGTCCAACGCCACAGCGCTCGTCGTCGACGCGGTACCGTTGTCGGTAGCCGTCGTTGAGGTGACCACGGACGTCTCGAGCGAGATTGTTTTGGGTGTCGAGACCGCTTCGAATGCGTCGGTCGCGATCGTCGAGGCCGTGGATGCCTCAAATGCCAACGAAGCCACCTCCGTCGACGCCGCTGATAACGCAGACGAGACCGACGGGCCAACGCCCGTCGACGTCGAAGCCTCGGTCGATATCGAGTCGAACGTTGACGACGACAGCGCACCTGAAGTTGGCGAGGCGTCTCCACTCACCAAGCACGACCAAGCCGCGGACGAGACGTCGGAGGCCTCATCTGAAACGCCGGAAGCGTCCAAGCAAGTGCCAGAAGCCATCGTGGACGAGTCGCCGGACGCCTTTGCGCAAGAGCCGGAAGCCACGAAGGACAAAGCGCCGGAAGCCACGAAGGACCCCACGCCCGGAGCGTCGAAGGAAGAGCCCGAAGCCACCAAGGACGAGAGCTCCGAACCCGAGCTTGTGGCGGCCAACGATGCGCCCGAAATTGCTGCGTCGCAAGATGCGGCGCTTGTGGCCATTGTGACGCAGTTCAGCGCGTACACCAACGTCACGTCGCACGCGCTGAACACGTCGGCGGTGCCTGCCGACGTCACGACAGCAACCGACGACGCTTCCATCCAAGCCGATTCTGCGACGACTGACGCGGACGCTGACGTCGTCGACGAGCCGGCCGTCAACGCTGACGCCGAGCCAGTTGTCATCAGCGCTGTAGACGTGGAAGAGGCGACCAAGGCGCCCGTCTCGGACAGCGCGCCTGTTGAAATTGAGCTTGAAGCCTCGGAGGACATCGCTCCCTTCGACATGAGCGCCGCCGACGTCGTCGGCGCATCTGCGTCCGACAAAGCCACCTCGGACAACACGATCTCGGACGACACGCTCGTGGAGGACGCTGCCACGACCGTCGCCACGTCGGACGACGCACCGACGTCAAGCCAAGACGCGGGGGCCGAATCCAAGGTCGTCACCAGCGAGCTAACGTCGTCCAGCGACAAGCCCACCGTGCTCAGTGCGGCGGCCAAGGCCCTCGAGTCGCTGCTCGCGGACAAGTAGTGTCGTCTTTCTAATTTAACGTCGCTTTGATACCTTGATACCTTGATACTGTATTACGGTTGTCTCACTCTATTTCGAGATGTCGGCCAAGACGAGCCGCGAGTGCCGGGTGCTGGCGTCGGCCAAGGCGCTCGGACTCTCGGTCGGCGACGGCGTCTCGGCGGCCGACGCACTTCGCAGCCACAACGCGCCAAAGGACGAGGTCTTTGACAAGACTCTCTACTCGACGACGCGCATTTTTCTGCGGCAAATCGCCCGCCACAAGGCGCTGCCCAAGCACGCGCGCGGGAAAAAGGCCAACTCCGCGCCCGTCGCCTCGCTCAAGTGCATTCTCCTCGCCGACAACAACCGGCACCGGTACATTCCCTACCACCGTAACTAAGATCTAGTCGAAATGGTAGCCGCGACGCCTTGGCGCTCCAGCTCGACGGCGCCTTCAAGGTCCTCTTAGCGAGCTCGGTCCGGGACGTGCTCCAGGTCGTGCAGATGTTTACGGTGCACCTCGTCTTTGTACGTGCGGCCATCGGACGCGACTCGGCGGCGACCATGTTGGACGCACTTCGGCACAAGGGCGTCGCGATCCCCGTCGTCGTCGGCACGTCCCGCTTTCTCGACGAAGACAACCCGGTGCGATAATATGTCGTTGATTTTTGGCTCAGAAGCGCTAGGACATGCTTCGGGCGTGCCTGGAGCGCGGCGCCCTTGGCCATTTGGACGACAGTGTGCTGACGTCGCTCCAGCTGCGCGATCGGCTTCTCGAGCTCATCGAGGCGTTGGGCGCCGTCGACAAGGTGTCGTCTGATTCCACCCGAAGAAAAGACAACTTGTCCTCTTCTAGGAATGCCAAACGTTCAAGAACGTCGAGTCCAAAGTGGCGCGTCGTCGCTCGACGCTGGCGCTTAAGTCGGGCGCGTCAACGTCCGTGCTCTCGTCGATCATGCAGCGCCGGGGCAGTACGCTGGTGACAGCGGCGTCGTCTGCGAACCTCCGTCGGCCCAGCGATTCCAAGCTCGAAGAGGTCGATACCAAAATCTTCGATCGCCAAATGCTCATGCAGAAGCGCGCGCAAGTCGCATCCGCACTGCAAGTCGACCACTCGGCGCTGGGGCTCACGGCGACGCCGGCTCCGTCGCCACTGCCGGTGGATTTGCAACGGACGCCGGTGCCCAAGCCGACGCGCAACGACATCAACAAGAACGTGTACACGCACCCGCACAAAGTGGCGGCCGTCGTGCAGGCGTTCGACTACGACCGGCGGACGCGCCCCGAAAAGTCGGTCGCATGCCAAGTACGAGCCTCTTCTCGTACCTATGTTCGTATCGTACGGTACTAGGAGCCACTGCTGGAGCACTGCCTGGCGCTGGACCCAAAGACGCTGGGCGCAGCCGCCGAGAGCCGACTCAACAAAGCCTACCTCTTCTACGCGCAGGGTCGACTGGACATGACGATCCATTGGTGCTCCAATGCACTCGCAACCGAACCGTTCAATCTCCCGAAATGGTAGACAGCGCAAGCGGCAGCATTTGAGGTATAGAGCGTGTAGGGTGCACCTGCTGCGCGGGGCTGCGCACGACAAGCTTGGCGACCACGCGCTCGCACTGCACGACTTTACCGCCGCCGTCGCCATCGACGCCAAATGCCACGAGGCCCACTTCAATGCGAGCGTCGCCTTGCTCAAGCTCGGACGTGACAAGGACGCGCTCGCGGCCATCGAGCGTGCGCAGGCGAGCGCCGAGGGCAGTTGCCCCAGCTACATGCGCAACTACGCGCTGATTCTTCGACGTCTCGGCCGGTTCGACGACGCCCGCGTCGCGTACGCGCAACTGGACCCGTCCCAGAGCGACGACGACATCGATGCGTCCCTTGACGGCCTTCTCGAGTCCCTTGGGCTCCGCGGCGGGCTCCTCGATGCGCTTTTCTGCCAGTCCAAGGTCGACAAGGCGGGGTTCTTTGCCAAATCCGGCGAGCGCTCGGACGAGATGCTCGATGCGATGGCCGCCGTCCTCCGCAGCTTTGACTTTTTTGTGCGGATGCCCGACGACGTCGTCCGCCGCGTGTGCCAAGCCGGCAACTTTACCGTCATCCGGTGCGGTGACGCGTTCGAACTCGCGGCCGCCATGCCGACTGCCTTCTACGTCTGCGTCAGCGGCACGCTCAGCGTCCACGCCAACCTCAAGCTCAGCGCCCACGAAGCCGTCGCGACCGCGAGCACCTTGCGGCTGCACGCCGGCGCCATTTTCGGTGCGACACCCATCCTGCTGGATATATCAACTGTGGCGTCTAGGCTGCGTCGGCTACAGCGTCTCGAACCTCATGATGTACCTTGCGGACGAGCGCACCGAGGTGCTCTACTTGGCGCCAAAGATCTTCAAAGCGACGCTCGAGCCGCAGTGGATCCTCGAACAGCACGCTCGCTTCGCCACCTTCCGCCGGTCGCCCGTCTTTCGCAGTCTCTCGGACTCGGAGCTCGGGCACATCGTGTCGCACTCGATCCTCGCCCGGTTCACCAAAGGGTCGGTCATCATCGCGCAGGGCAGCGTGCCCAAGCACCTCTACCTCCTCTACAAAGGCATCTGCCGCTTCCAACAAACCTTCGCCGACGGAACCAACGACACCTCTGAGAGCGCGCCACCGACAACGGCACTCGCACCACCGGTGGCTCCGTTCCACCACTTGCTAGCGGACGCAAGCTGGCCACTGGGCTACACGCGTCCAGCCCCGACGCTGGCGCAGGCAACGTCCATGCCGCAGCTCGACGTGCGCCGGTCCTTGTCGCGAGCGAAACGCGCAACCAACGGCGGCGCGCTCCCGGCCATCACGTACGAGTTGTACCCACCCGCGCTCTTTGGCGAGACGGCTTACTTGGAGGCTTCTCAAAAAGCCAAATGGTACGGCAAATATCACGTTGTGATTGAGATTGAGAATGGACTGTAGCTCGATCATTGCCAACACACTGGTGGAGGTTCTCGCCGTCGATGTGCATCAGCTCAAGTCGCTCTCGACGGCCAAGGACCTCTTGATGGCGATCGCTCGGTACGCACCCATGTACGTCGACGCTGCCCGCGCCGAGAAGCTCCAAGCCGACCACGACGCATGGACCGAGGTCCGGGGCAAAGAAGCTCTGTTGCTCAACAAGGCGCGCTGGCCCATTCAAAAGGTACTTCGAGTTTTGGAGAGGGCGTGACATCGCCGCGTAGAGTCGACTGCGCTTCCTGCCCAACGGCAGCTCTCTCGTCTTGCCCGACGAGTGCATCGTCACTAGCCCCAAGCGCTAATCAAGTCTCAAGTGGTAGGAAGGACATGGCTCGTGAAATGCAACATGGCGCATTAATGTACATTGTATATTCGAATGTTTAGGACGAGGTAGGAATACCAAAGTAGTGCTTGGTGTAGTCGTCCGCGTCAAAGATGAGAAACTTGTACGCGTTGAAGCTGAGCTCGTTCCCGATGAAGAAGTCGTTGAGGCCGTAGCGGACCCCCGCGGGGCTCTTGTGCGGTCCGCGCTCGAGGAACTTGCCGCTCACGATGCCCGAGTTGCGCTGCTCCGGCTCGTAGATCGAGATGGTGTCGTCCGCAAGGTAAAACGTCACAATGAACCGCCGCGCCGCTTGCTCGCGCCGACTCGAGACCATGCGCGCGCTGAAGCGGAGGAGCTTGTGGTCGTTCGTCGTCATCTTGATAAAGTCCTTCTTGGGGACTTTGGGCACCAAATGCGTCACGGAGCCCATCGAGTCTACGGTCGCCACAGCATGAGACATCGGGAAAAAGCTTGCAATGTCGAGCGAATACATACCTTCTTCGGTGCCGTAGCCCGTGTACGGCGGCGGCGCGGGTTTCTCGTTCTCCTTGGGCGCCGGGGGTGTGTACTTTGGCGCTTCGAGGTCGAGGTTCCACGCCTCCTTGTAGTACGCGCGCGTGTACTCGTCGGCGTCGACGAGTTTGAGCGAACGGCTGTAGACGTTGAGGACGGCGCCGACAAAGAGGTCGTCTTCGTTGTAGTAAGCGTCGCGGCCCGTCGGCTCTTCGACGCCGCGGTCCTGCTCGTCGTGGATCGCATGTTCCCACGCTTTCAAGAGGCGCGAGCGCGACAGAAGCAGCGGGAACGGGTCCCTGCCCGAGTTGGGCCGCTCGACCTCCTTGATCTCGATCGTATCGTCTTCGAGAAAGTAGTTGAGGCTGTACGGCGTGAGGTCGCCGTAGAGCTTTTGCCGGTCGTCGTACTCGCACTCGAAGTGCAGCACCTTGCGCGCGTTGGATAAGAACTTGGCCTTCTTGGCGCTGTTGAGCCCGTGGTTGCCGAGCGTCGCCTCCATAAACGTCTTGAGCGCGCTGTTCTTCTTGCCGTAAAAGTGACCGGGCTCGCCGCCGCAGAGCTTGGAGATCTCGTCGCGGGTCATGGTGTACTCGTCCTTTGGAATCTCAATGTTGCGCGACAGCTCAAACGCGTTCTCGGCGTAGTACGTCCGCGTGAACGCGTCGCAGCTGTAGAGCTTGAACGTGCGACCAAAGATCGGAAAGTTCATGCCAATGAAAATATCGTCAAAGCGGTAATGGCCCGCGTTGTTGGGCTTCATGAGCTTGCCGCGCTTGAGGTACGTGCCTTGGGGCAAGCCCGAGTTGGCGACGCGGTTCTCGATGATCTCAATCGTGTCGTCCTAGTCGCTGTCACCAACCCATTGCACTCGATTGGCCTACGCGCAAGTAGAAGAGCAGCATCGTGCGGCGAAGGCGAAAGAGCTCAGCCGGGCTCTCGTCGACCGTCTCTTCAAAGAAGGCGTAGAAGCGCAGCACCTACGGCGCTTCGATGAGTTGGCAAATTTGCATCTCGGTGGACGTACTTTGGTCGCATTCGCCGGCGCAAACTTGCTCTCTTCGAGCTCGGGCAGCTGGCCAATGTCGCGGGCGGTCGTCGTGAAGCGGCCCTCGTCGTGCTTGTCGGCGCGCGTCGCAAGCATCGACGGCTGCTGCGGCAGCGACGAGTCGATCATCATGCCCCGCACGAGCTTGAACTTCTGCTGCTTCCCATCCGGCGTGAGCTTGGCGGTGTAGTTGCCGCGGCCTAAGATCGGATTGCTCTTCTGGAAGACAGGCTGCGCCATGCTGCTGCTGCTGCTGCTGCTGCTCGCGGCCGACTGACAAGTCGCGATCGTTTTGAGCTATTTTTGATGCAATGTACGGTACGTTGTACGTACGTTTAATGTACTGCTGTACGTACGTCCCAACGGGTTTGTCCAAGTGTTTTAAACACGCCCGAGAGGGTGTTTCCAACCGCCTATGAGAGCGAGAGCGATACGCACGCACGCAGCCCTCACCCAAGGCGTCGCAGTACGATACCTTATACCTGCGCATCGCGTTGTCCCTTGGTAGCACCAAATGCGCGCTTGGAGCTTGCAGAGGTCGTGCGCGCGGCTTGTCCTGGGCGACTTGTGTATAAAACAAATTCTGTTCATTGGAGTGTACGAAACACCACCTGGCGCATTGGCAGCAGCGCTTGGAGTGCGATGGAGTCGCTGCCCGAAGCGAGCCCACCGTCGTGGCGGCTCGAGAAGCGCAAGTCCAAGTACGCGCAGGCGCGCGAGGTGCTCGAGGCAACCTTCTCGTCCACAGGCGTCGAGAGTGCCGTCCGGTCGCTGGAAGGGCTGTCCTTTCTGAGCTGGGACGAGTTCCATGCGTACCTCGACGCCTACGCCCGCGAGACGCACCAGGCGTATATCTCGCGCGATACGAAGCTCACAGCGCGCTACAACAACGAGCAAGTCAAGCGCCGCGTCAAGAACTTCACGCCCGTGCCACCCGAGTTCAAGCATGCTCGCGTCCGGTACGCACGTTGCAGTGCTGCGGTGGGTTGATGGCACGCTCGTGTAGCTACGACTGCAAGCACTCGCACTCGAACATGTCCAAGAACAAGAGCTTGCTCAAGGAAACGCGCGATGTCGACGCGGCCAAGCGAAAGCTGCGAGATGGCGCGTTCTACTCGGCCTGCCCCGTCAAGATGCACGTTCAAGTGCACCGGAACGAGGCCACGCACGGCGAGTGGCGCGTCCTCATCACGTCGCACGTACGACTGGCGACGTGGGCACTGCGGCGCCTTACCCTTTGAGTAGATGAATGTGCACAACCACGACGTGTCGGAGGACGTGCAGGCGCCGGTCGTCCATGGTCCGGTCCGCCTCGATGTGCCACGTATGCTGCCACTCAAGCCCGACGCCGCCAAGCGCCATGAAGCCATGGACGAACTCTTGGGCTTCTTCGCGACCTACCAAGCCGCAAGGTACGTTTCGCGAGCCTGGGTGGCCCCATGTAGCATCATGACGTGCAGAGAGGACCCGGACGCGTTCCAGCGGCGCTACTGCGACCTCCACACCTACATTTACCAGTCGCTGTGCGAAGACGCACCCAACGACCCGATGGACCCGGCGTTGCAGCTCTTTCAGAAGCTCCCGCGGCCCCACGTGCGCAAGGACAAACGACCCAAGTACACGCCCCCAACCTTTGAGATTTTGTAACAACTATAGTAGCTATTCGTTTAAGCTATACCATAGTATACGCTTAGTATGTTTTTTGCTTAGCTATCCTTGTGTGTGTCTCTAGTTCCGGCCCAACCACCAGGCGGTACATCCCAGAAGCAACCCTAACCACGTTCAAAGATAAGGGAATGTACAAAACACCTTAGGACACCCCAGCTAGGCGTCGAAAGAGTGGCGGCGCTCGGGAGTGGGATGACGGACGCGGCGACATCTAGTAGTTTGGTCATGTAACTAGACCATCTCCGAAGGACGCACCCGACACACAGACGGGATACTTGGCGTGCAACATCTTGATCGTGCCCTTGACCGTGTTGGCGCAGTAGGCGGCGTCACTCTTGATGCTATCGACAAGAAGCCCGAGCTGCGTATCTGGGTCAAATTCAGGCAACGCGTCCAGAGCCTGGAACGACTTGGTGTCGACGATGAAGAGCACAAAGTTGCAGCCGTTGCACTTGCTACATGGTGATCGTCCGAAGTGAACGCAAGTCGAGTAACCACGTACAAGAGTTGAAGGCTCTTGGAGAAGTGCACGTGACTCAGCACTGTGAGCGGGTTCCCGCCAAAGTATCTACCATGCACACATTGTCATGGAAGCCAATGACGCAACGTTCGTACGCTTTTTGCGTCTGTGTAAGGTCCACGTCCTTGAGCACGCGGAGCTGATTGCGCTCTACGGACCTACTTCCCCGCGTGACAAGGATAAGACTTGAGAAGATCTGCGTACAAAATCTTGGTGGCGAGTGGCGCATCGATCAAGTCGGCGATCTGGTTGCCGTCCATCCAACTAGATCAGTTGTCCAGTTGCCCGTACATTCGATGGAAAATGTTGCGAGTACAATTCCTCGACCGAGAGTGGGAGCCCTTTCGGTATCGCGGTCAAGCTGCCGTTGCTGAGGTACCTACGATGTATGACATCATGATGATACGAAGTCTGCATTTTCAGGTCGTACAGTTCAGTGAGGCTGAGCGGCCAGCTGACCGAGGGCATTTGAGCTTGCATTGGGCAGTTCTCGAGACCACTATCCAGTCGACGCGTCGTGATGACGCGCACACATTCGCAACGACGTACAAGACAGTCAGGCTCGGCGGCAGTGCAAGCGTGGTCTGCTCCAGGCGAAACCCACTCGAGCAGTTTTGCACGAGCCTACCCCAGGCGTCAGTGGCCAAGAAGGTCGATATGAGTAGTACAATTTCGTTCCCTCGTACGACGAGAGGTTGCCGATGCTCGCGAGGCCAGCGATCTTGGTCGTAAGAGGACTCACCGACCGCCACACTTCGCTGCAAAGCGCGTTGACGCGGCAGACCGCGACGCCGGGCGTGCAGTACGTGCCCGATGTCAAGGTGTCGCCTGTCGCGTTGGCGTGCGGGCAGGGCGTCGCAACACCAAGAGCGAGAGGCAAGTGCACAAACAGCAGTCGCAACATACTCTGCTTCGAGCACTACGATTCAAAAGTGACGTTTGAATAACCCTCAACGCGACCGTGTCACACAACGATGTGTCCACGATGATGGAGTCGCACGCGGCGCCTGGTCCGGCACCAACACTCGCAATGGACGCACACTCTACTGCGTGACACACACCCTTCTTTCAAGATCTTGGACCTCGGTGGCTGGAAGGAAAATGACTGCTGGAACGAGAGGCTCGTGTTGGCATCTATCAAGTCTTTGGACCTAGCGGCGTGCGTATCCTAGTTACAAAATGGGAACAGCTCAAGAAGTAGTCTCTTTCTACACAGCTAGTGAGATTTGACGTACTAGTAGTGTAGTAATCAGAACATTCTCAGCCGACGTGCATTGTGACTTCAAGGAACTCGCGGTGGCATGGCACGTTGCACCGTGGGACGACCCTGAGCTGGACACGATGCTGCTTCCGACAATGCCTAGTCTTAGTTTCGAATCAGCGCCGTCTCGAGCATGCAGCGCGCTGTATTGATGCTGGCTTCGGCCGCCGCCACTGATCTCTCGTGTCCGTACCTCTTGTCGCCATACAACGTATTGACGGCCGGGGCGTTGTGCCCGGCGAGCGCCATCGTGTGCCAAGTCGACAACCTTTGCCAAGTGACGTGGGCGAGCGTTGGCAGCCAATACAAGCTTGCTGACATTGCGGGCATCGGTGACTTGCGTCAGTACAGTCTGCAAAAGCTGTATGTCTTGGTGTAGCTTCGTCGGGTCTCATCCACCGTGTAGGATCCTCCAAAACTCGACGACGCATCTCCAATTTGAATCCAACTTTCAGCTGCCGTCCATGCTGGCGGAATTGTACGTTTTCATGTGGACACGTGACAGTTTCAAAACTGACAAGTCATGCTGACAGCGGCATCGAGCACTCGCTTTTTCGCAACGTGAGTCAGCTCGACGGCATCACCTGGCCGAGCCTCACTGCGCTGTACGTCCTTACAATGGCTGATTTTTATTCGGGGTCTCAACGGGGCGCACATAGGTACCTCAACGACGACAGCCTCGAACGCATCCCCCAAGGTTTGCCCAAGGTCCTCGCCGAACTCTGGCTCGACGACAACCGTCTCACGACCCTGGATGCGTCGCTCCCGACTGTCAGCAATGTTTTGTACTACTTTGGCACTTGCTATGTACATATAACTTATGGTGGTTTCTGTTGCGTAGCTCGGCCGAGCGCAATGCCATTCGGTCGATTGTCAACGTGAATTTCCGATCCGCAGCGCGCATGTACAAGTAGTATCGTGCCCGCAAGGCGCACTCATGGTGACCTTAGCTACTTGTCGGGGAACGCGATCTCGTCCATCACCAACACGACATTTGGCCAGGGTCTCACGCTCTTGTACGACTATCGTCGATGCCAGGACGCGGCTCATGACTCGACATAGACAATGTCCGCAGTGCGTTGCGTCGATGCAGCTCACGATCAGTGCAGACTCGTACGCTGTGCTGCAGAGTCTCGGGCCATACAACGCTAGTACCAACACGGGCGTGAACTTTGGCAACCACGCCCTCACCAACAGCTCGAGCTGCGACCCCAAGGACGTTGCCAATACGCTCTTTGGTCAGTACCCCGTGTGCATTCGAGGTACACCGACCGCTCATGATTGTCGACAAAAGAACGAACGACGAGTAGATGCACCTGGAGTCACGCCCGCGACGCCCACTAAACGTGGCAACCTACTAGACGACGGACTGCCCACACTGTGGGTGGTTCTCTTGGTTCTGGGTGTACTTGTGCTTCTCTGCTGCATCTTTTGCTGTTGTTTCTTTTGCTGCCGCTGTCATCGCGCCAAAGAGGATAGCGCGTCGTCGACGCCACCGAGCCAAGCGGCGCCAACACCAACACATACAAATTTCACTGCACTCGAGCACCTTCCCGCACCATCGTGTCCGACCAACGTCACAATGCCGGGCGTCCCCTACGTCCAAGTCACTAACACGTGCAACGTCATCGCGGCACTTATGCCGTGGCAGCTCCCGATGGACGCCATCACGTACAGCCATGTTCTCTCAACCGGCGGCCACGGCCACGTCTGGCTCGGCTACTACGAGAATGCCCCCGTCGCGATCAAGACGCTTCGCAACGTCCACTCGTCTTTGGCCCAAGCCGCCTTTGCACGCGAGATCCAGCTCATGACGTCGCTGACGTCACCGCACATTGTTGCGTGCATCGGTGTCACGTGGTCGCTGGACGACAATGACCTGCGGCTCGTGGTCGAGTACATGGACCAGACCGACCTTCGCGAGTTTCTGCAAAAGACGAATCCGATCTCGTTTCCGTGGTCGCTCAAGGTCGCGTCGCTGACGAGCGTCGCGGCGGCGCTGCAGTACTTGCACGCTCGCGGCATCGTCCACCGCGATCTCAAGTCCAAAAACATCCTGCTCGACACGGTCAAGGGCACCAAGCTCATGGACTTTGGCGAAGCGCGACTGGTTCGTATTGAGCCCTCGACTATGTTTCTACTCTCGAGTAGGACGCGCCCGAGACGATGACGGCGGGTGTCGGAACGTGTCGCTGGACAGCACCCGAAGTGCTCCGGGGCGGTCGCTACAGCGTTGCCGCCGACATTTACTCGTTTGGTGCGAAGATGTGCCGGCGCAAATGTACTCATGCTCACTAGGCATGGTGCTGGCCGAGATGGACGCTCACAATATCCCGTATGCTCTCGAGCGAGACCCGAGCACGGGGGCACCGCTGGTTGATGCGGTGATTGTCACGCGCGTCCTGCAAGGCACGCTGCGCCCGGTCTTCTCGGCGGCGTGTCCGACCTGGCTGCCTGATCTGGCGCTGCGATGTGTGGACCCGAACCCTCTTGGTCGCCCAACAGCGGCGGACATTGGCGTTCTCTTACGTGGTCACATGACAGTCTAGTAAGAACAACATCAATATTACACCCATGGTTTAGTCTAATTCGAGGACTGGATAACCCACCCGAGGTTCACCAACGCGATCTCCATAAACGAGACGGGCGCTACTGCACCGTACATTGCCCTTGTTGCGTCCTCGGAGCTAGATGTCGCGGCTGTTGCCATGCATGCAAGGTTGCGATGGCACCTTGTTGCGTCGACAGCGCGCTGTCATCCTCGACTATGGTCGCTCTGCTACGTCGCAGATCGTGACCACTTCAACCTGCGCGCCATTGAGCAAGCTTGTATCCGGATTTCCGGATATCGTGCACATTTCCATGCCGTGGGCTGCCAACAACAACCAGGCGGGCGAGCTCCGCCTGCCGTCGCACGCCGCCTTCCTCAAGAGCCAAGGCGCGCCGGCGCCGTCGCAGACGTTCCGCGCGCAGCTCTACCGCCACAGCACGCCGTTCGCCGTCTACTTGCACCCGAGCCATGCGCCGGCCGAGGCCACCGACGTGCTCTTCGTGCACCCGCGCACGCACGCGCAGTTTGTGGCGCAAGCGCGCTTCCTCGCCGACGTGCCTCTCGATGCGATCTGGTGCAGCGACGAACAGCTCATCAACTTTGAGCTCTGCGACGACCAAGTCGACACGTGGCGCTGGTACAACGCATCGAAAGACCCGATCGCGGCCTCAATCTCGCTCGAGATTCGACCGCTATACAAGGCGGCGTCATCGCCCGAGGCCATTGACGTGGCGTCCGTCATTGACGCCTTTCTGAGCGCCAGCGCCGGCAAGATCGTGACCGAGAACGAGCGCGTCGTGCTTACGCTGGGCGCCAACGATTACTTTCTGCGGGTCCTCGACATGGACGCGGACGATCCGGACGAAACCGAGTTTAGCATGCCCAACGTCTTCCGCGCCAAGGTTGCGACGGTCACCAGCGTCCTTTTGACGAAGGAAAACCCCAGCGATGCCAGCTACACCCTGGTCAACGATATTCGCACGACGCACGTGGCGCCCATCACGGCCAAAGGCGAGGTCGTCGACGTCTGGACGTCGGACGACGAGATGTTCCCTGTCAAGAAGAAGCTGCTCTGGCCGTGCATCAAGCTCACGTCGGCCGTCATGGCCGGCTTTGGCGTGCACAAGGACAAGGAAAGCGTCGTTCACGTCGACGTCGACTGCTGCACGTTCGATCGCGTCCTCCTCTACCTCGAGCACTCTGTCTTGTACCCGGACGAGCCGTTCCAGTTCGATCCAAACGTCACTGACAGCCTCCTCCAAGCGGCCATTTCGATCGGCTGCCAAGTACTACCTGTGTTTAGAGAACCGTCGTCATCCCTTCTAGGGCCTCGAAGACCTCTGCCGCATGCGCATGGGCGAGTTCTCGTCGCGCGTCCGCAAGCAAGCGATTCCGTACGCGCTGGTCGTCGAGAAGAACGCTGGCAACGACACGTGGCTTATCATGGACGGTATGGTGCTCGACATCACGCGCTGGCTCCCCGAGCACCCCGGTATGGTTTCTCTTGTCCATATCCAGTAACGGGACGCCTTGTAGGCGGCTCGCACCTGATTCCGGCCGAGGCGCTCAACATCGACTGCGTCGGTATGTTTGAGATCTACCACGCTTCCAAGGCCGCCTTCCGGTATCCATACGCTTGGCTAATATGGACACCTTCCATCTCAAAATGCTAGGTACTTGAAGCAGTTTTACATTGGCGAGCTCGACGCCAAGGAGCGTGCCGATGTGCCCAGTGGCCACTCGAACCCGCGCATTCCGCTGCCGTCGCAAGGCTTCCTCGACCTCCTCGCCCAGGTACGCATCGTCGATGCAGCATAATGCTGATGCCTCATATTGTAGTATACCAAGTGGCGCATTGAGCCCGAAGCCATCACGCACATCAGTTTTTAACACCGTGGTTCCAAACCGTTTAAAACACCCGATTGCCATTGCAGAACCTGTTTAAAACATCTCAGTATCGAATCTGCGCCGAGTTGAAGAAGGTCCATGCGCACGGACTGCGCGATGAACGTCCTGGGGTCGAGCGACCTCTTCGCCCTTATCGCGAGCTTCCGCGATGGTCTCCTGGAGGCAACGTACGAGCTCAAGCGAGCCTGCCGCGGCTGCTCGGTGCATGTCGAACGCGCCCCGTACGAGGCCTACCACGCCCGCTTCAAGCCATGGTTTACCCGCTACGGCACGTCGCAGCTGCTCAAACTCTGCCAAGTGCACCTCTTCGTGTACGCCCTCGACTATGCCAACATGGACGTGCTGCGCTGGATTCAAACGACCCACAACCTCGCGTGGGGACGCGCCCCGTTTGGCTGGGACTTGCGGCTCCTCGATGCGTACTTTTGCCCGGACATTGAATCGCGCTACTACTTTCGGACGGTCGGGTCGTCGACGCTCTATGCACATCCGCAGGCGGTGACCCAAGCAGCGATGCGCAACCACGTCGAGATCCTCGCCATCTCGCTCGAGATCGAGTGCAACATGCGCAGCGTCTGGATCGAGACGTGTCGCCATGGACACGTCGCCGTCGCCGAGTTTGCGCAGCGCGCTGGCTTCATTGGCTGGTCGTACCAGCACCTCAACGTCGCCGCGCGCCACGGGCACTTGGCCTTGATCCGGCACTTTCACCAACAGGACTTTAATGGCTTCAACGCCGCGACGATCTGCGCTGCCGTCGACAGCGGCAACCTCGCGCTCGTCCAATTTCTCTTGTCGCATCGACTTGAGGTAACGCTCGAAGACGCCATGTGCCACGCCGCGGCGAGCAGCCAACTCGACATTCTGCGCTGGCTCGTCACGCAGCCGACCGCGCCTCTCTACATGCACAAGGTGCTCACGGCCGCGTGCGCCAACCTCTGTAACGACGTGCTTTTGTACCTCGAGCGCCACCATGGCTTGCAGCCGACGCCCGCGGAGTCGATGCGCCTCGCTCGTCGACGGCAGCGCCAGCGCACCGCGTGATATGATGCCACAGAGTTGGCTTCTTGACCGGAGCAGCGACACAATGCACCCGAGGTGACAAAGCTTGTGTGCAGAAGAGCATGGCGACTTCCCATGCAGCGTACGCATGCTTGCATCCTCTAGCGAGTCCGAGTCGCACCTTAATATACACAATGGTTCTTTCGCATCGATGCTTGGGCTGCTTGAAGCTTGAAGCTTGAGATTGGATTCGGACCGATCCGAAATGGATTAAGTTGAATCGAAAATGACTTCGATGATCGTAGTATGCGACCACGTCCGTTGACTCGGGATGTCGGCCAGCAACTCAAATTGAGTTTGGAGGTGCTCGCTCTTGATGAACGTCCACCGTTGCTGTTCCAAGATGACGTGGACGCCGGTGTTTTATGTTATAAATAGTCCTTTGACCTAGTATATAACTCAATATTAGCTCTATATCTCCAATTATTGTTTGGTTGTTTTGTTGGTGAAATGGCAAAATCGTGCAATCGAGATCTTTCGATGCCGCTAAACACCAATCTAAACTAGATGTATGTATGGACCCTCTCGATTCAAGACTCGACTAGTCGACAAGCAGATCATCGCAGGAACCACGTGGGTCCTTCGTCAAGACGTATGCAAGCACCATGCGTGGTACATGCGAGAGCTCGTATAACGACAGTGCCTTGTCTTTCTCACTCGTCGACCAACCCAATACGTGGACGACAGCCCGCTTCCGTATGGGACACGAGCTTGTGGCACCAACAAGCGAGTCCTCTTGACGTCCGACCGCCTGCGCCGTTGATAAGCCAGATCTGACCAACGATTCTAGTTGTTTCTCGTTCTAGAACTAAGAGAACTCTGGGTGTCGACGCAAAATCACAAACTCATTCTAGTACCGGTACTGGAGAGCGCATTTTATGCATCTGCGATGAACGTCGTCGGTCGCTCGTCAGTCTGGGTTGCGCGACGCGCGGTCGCTTGGCCTCGAGCCCTCGCCCAGTAAACGCCAAGAAATTGCCTTCGTTTTAGTAGTATCTACTATGTTAGTCGTATCTCTTGGTCGACTAAGCTGCGAGGTGGGTCGCGTCTGTCGTTGCAGCCGCGCGCTCGGTATACAAACTCCTAGAGTAGCGATCCTATTGGGTCAGTCGGCCAATATATTATTTCGCCTACAAACTTTCAGATAACATAAAACCGTGGGGAAAAAATAGATTCGAGCTTTGCCATTTCTGGAGAGACATGGAGCAGCCGCGGAGTCCATCGCCGGTCCCGCGCCGCAGCCCGTCGGACCAGATCGAGCACCTCACGCAGCACATGTCCATGAAGGTCGCGACGAACGTGCTCGCCGAGATGAAGCTGCGGTCGCGCAGCACCGTGTCCATGGCGCGGGGCGACTCGTACGCGAGCAGCAACTCGAGCAGCAACGGCGACGACGACAGCAGCGACGGGTCGTCGCCCGAGACGTCGCCCATGGCTGCCGTAGCACCACTTCGGTCGCCGCGCCACGCCGACCCGGACGCCAGCGATGCGTCATCGTCCACGGAGGCGCTGCTCATGCCGGGCAAGGCGTTCCTCCAGAGCTTCTATGCGTTCCTCAAGGAGCACCGCAAGTCGCTTCGCCAGCGCAACCCGCGGCTTCAAGTCGTGCTCAACCCGCCGTGCCTGCACTACCTCGAGCACTGCTTCTACGCGATGCTCCTCCCGCTCTACGGCCCCGATGGGACCTGCGTCCTGCAGTGGGAGACAAAAAAGGACACGCCGGAAGTCACGACCGACGACGCACCGCGCGGTATGTCCAAGACGCAGCGCATGCTCAAGCTCGCCGGCTTTGTGTTGCACATCGTCGACCTCCACATCCAGACGCTGCCAGACTCGCTCTCGCTACCGTCGCAGTGCAACCTCGGCCTCTTCTCGTCCCTTCTGTACCTCCGCCTCGACAGCATGCCCCTCAACTTGATCCAGGGTCTAGTGAGCTTCAAGAAGCAGCTCCTTGAGCTCACGCTGCTGCACATTCCGCTGCACTCTGTCGCCGACGTCCTCGGCAGCATCGAACCGTACGAGGCGACGGACGCTGGCAGCCCGATCTGGTCGTCGCTGACCTCGCTCGGCCTCATCGACTGTGGCCTCACCAAGCTGGATGCGTCGCTCGCCCTCGCGCCGTCGCTGACGCAGATCAACTTGTCCTCGAACACGCTGACGTCATTGTCGCACCTCGAGAACTGTCCGCAGCTGTCGCATGTCAACGTCAGTGGCAACGCGCTCTTGCATTTGGATGGCGCGCACCGGAGCCTCGCGAACGTCACGTCGCTTGTGCTCCACACCAACCAACTGTCGAGCGTCAAGGGCATCGCCAAGATGTACGGTCTACAGGTACATCGACACTATGTCCACAACGCACATGACACAAAGGACTAGGCACTCGATCTCAGCCACAACGCGATCTCGTCGCTCTCAGATGTAGCACCACTCGCAGCACTCCCGCTACTGCAGGTCGTCACGCTCACCGGCAATCCGCTCGAGATGGACGAGGACGCGTACCGCCACGAGGTGCTGCAGCTCTTTGGGAAAGACGTGCTCTTGGACAGCGTGCCGTGGACACCGTCTGAGCTCCAGCGCGGCTCGTTCACTCGGCGCAAGTCGCTGGCGGTTGTGACCGAGCTCGACAGTGCGCCTCTCGACCCGCCTCTGGCGCCATCGAGCGACGGCAAACACCGCCACGACGTGCAGTGGCACAAGTCGTTGGCGCCCGCCAAGCTCTACGACGTTGTCGCGCGCGTTGGCATGACCTGCGTGCTCTTGGTACGCAGGCGTCTACTATGCTTAACTCATCCCACCGCTGTAGGTGGTCGCGCAGGCCATCGCTACATGTCTGTGGGCCCGCGACGAAGAGAGCGAGACGCTCACGACGCTCGTTGTCAGCGGCATTGGCGGGACAGTCCTTTTGCTGGCGCTGCCACTGTCGCTGCTCACGTATGTGCTGCAGCAAGCGCACTTGACGTCGCCGCCCGCGCCACCGGCGAGCTCCATGGGGTCGCCCAAGCCGCCCTTATCACCACGCGTACGTCTCTTTGCATAGAGAAGAAGCCATAGCAACGTCGGCGCGGTAGATGCAACGCGAGCTCGCCGCCAACCACATGTTTCCCGATGACGACGATGACGACGACGACGCGTTGCGCTCGGCGACCTCGACAGCGTGCTCGCTGAGTGTGTGGTCGACGGCCCTGGAAGTCCTCGTGGACAACGCCGAGGTATTAACACTGTGTCTTATCGGATTATATATAACGACTCGTTAGCACATGCCGCTGCAAGACTTTTTGGTCATGTGCCAAGAAACCGCGGGGCTCCTGCATCTTCTGGGCCCGACCGGCGCGTTTGCGCTCAAGTCTCTCACCCCCGAGCTCGCTCGTTTGGACGTTGCGTGGCGCAACACGGCCAAGGACGCGGACGTGACGCTGCAGGCGCTCATGGGTGCCGAAGACACGGACACGGATGGACGCGACGACGTCACGAGGTACGTCTTTGTCTCTAAAGACGCGGGGACTGGACGGAAAAGCTAGCAATGTGCTGCGTATCGTGCCTGTGTTGGCGTACGTCAAGAACCTCTGCCTGGAGATGGAGAAGGACCGCGACCTCTCACTGCGCCACTGCGCGTCCAAGGCGTACTTGACGTCGGTCGCCAAGCAGCAAAAGCACCCGTGGCTCGTCCAGAAGGCCGTGCTCTCGGCCATGCAACTCAACCCAATGACGCGCGAGAGCCTTATTGGTCTCTGGCGCCCGCACGACGGCATCGACGACGACGAAGACGCCGAGGCTTCGCTCATCGAAGAGCGTCTTCACGCCTGCGGCCACATGCTCGACATTGTCTTGGTAAGTGTCGGCTTGATGTTGTGACGATCTATCTGTGCCTTAGAGACACCTCGAGACGTGGTACGAGTCGCTTTAGCTTCCATAATGACATCCAGCATCGGTCGTTCTCGATGTGCTTCCTGTTCCATTGGGTGGTTAATATCGCTCTTCTGTCTCCAAATGTGACACGATCCTGCTGCAATAGTTCAACAACAAAAACACTAGTTACATCATATGCTACTTCTTTTGGTGGTTGACGAAGCGAAGCGCGATCGCGTTGAGGACCAAGATGATGGCGATCCAGCCGAGCGTGGCGAGCGTGTTGGTGCTGGCGTCGTCGTACTTCATCTCGTACACGCCCTCGACGTACTCCTGGAGCGTGATGCTGGAGGCATTGCCCATCGCTTGGAGGACACTGGGCGGAACGTGCGCGAGCGTCTTGCAGCCGAGTTCGTGGCCTTCCGTGCACTTGGCAAACGTCTCGGCAGCCAGAATGGCCATGCTAAACTTGGGTGGCACAACGCTGTAGAGCCACCGGAAGCCACTCGGAATCTGCGACGCCGGCGGCGCAAAGCCCATGAAGAGCATAAAGATCGAGTTGAAGAGGAAGCCGACGAGACCCGCAAGGTCCACATCAGGTAGACAATACGCGAGCAGCTGGCCAAAGTAGACGTGGAAGAGCACCATGAGCGAGAGGTTGAGTCCGTAGTACAAGCACGCGCCCACCGACTCGTGGAGACCCACAAACGGGTAAAAGATGATGGCGAACGCAAA